TGGCTGTCTGTTGGCATCTTCTTTGTGTCACAGCATCTCTTGGCCAACTGAAACCTGACACCTGCAGTACTTCCTTGGATGACTCTGCTTCACATCAGTCCAGAGCATCAACCTACATCTCTCTTTTCCCTCTTCTTTCACCCCATCGTTTTCCTTCTCCTTGACACATTGCTGCCAGTCCTCCTCCTTGCTGCCTTCCCTCTCCCCTTTTATAACTTCCTCCTCTCTAGATCTTTATGATTCTGATTTTGCTCCCCAGATCTCACTGTTTCTTGAAGTTTCTGCTCCCTCTAGTCCTTCTGGGCAAGTCCCTTCGCCATCTTCTCCTTCTCCACTCCACTGGAGATTCCAGTGAGGTTGGTGCCTTTGTAAGGGATGGTGTAAATATATATACCAGAGAGCATTCCAATAAAATCAGTAATGTACAAACATGCAACACAACATTTAATCATAAGGCTGTGGTTAAATGTCATGTTACATGTTTGTACATTATTAAAATTATTGGAATACACTCTGAAGTAGAGTGCTATATAAGTTGTTTATTTATTTATTTATTCTATTTATATCCCACCTATCTGGTCGTTACGACCAATGCTGCTGCTGCTGCTGCTCCTGCTACTGTTGTCCAACAGGCCATATTGCAGGCCATAAACAGAGAAACTGGATTTTGGTCAACACACTGCAACTTGAATGCTGAAACCATATTTTTCTGCTTGAATTAAAATTGATATAATGAAATAAAAATTTAAACCATTTGGGTCATAGTACCAATCCTAAATTGATTTGCTTTGTAAGAGCAAATATGTTCTCAACTACAATGTCAACAGTTATTCATCTGGAAATGAATTGCCTGAGCAAATTGAAGATTTATGATAATGTACAAATAGTTTTCTCTGCAGGGCACATCTCAAAGGACATCCTTTCATGGAGGCAACACAGTCAAAATTCACTTACAGTGACAACATGACTTTGGTGCAGTGTCCTGAAGGCAAGAGATGGAAGTATTGTAATATCCAGGAAAACTCAATGAAGAGTGTATGTCTTTAATCATACAGTTACCTACTCATTCAGGGCCAGTACTGGCATTAGCTTGAATGAGGTAGCAGGTTCAGGTGGCAAATGCTCTGGCAGGACTCCTGCGATTCTGGAAAGCTGCCACTCCTCTTCTATGCTCCTCTCCAAAGCAGGCTTCTTTATTAAGAAAAAAGGTTAAGTTAACAGAGAAAGAAACAAAGAAAGATGATGCCATAAAGTAGCACCCTACCAGAGAGAATGAGGACACAGCACAGAATCAGTAGCTGCCCACAGTTTTTGTATCCAGGAAGACGAGGGAGGAAGTTCTGACACTAGTACCATCAGCAATGACAACTACAATGTTGTGGAGTTGCCTCGCCAAGGAGAGAGTAGAAAGAGGGGAATATTCTGACCACTGTTACAGGCAATGCCTGGCTCTGAGGGTCATTAGAAGCAGACACAATGGGAAGAATGTGTGTTACTCTTTAGCATCATATTATATTACAATTTCTAAGGAAATTGCCCATTCCACAGGCAGTAGGAAATTTCCTATTATCACTGTTCTTATTGGGTCTGCAGTGAAGGACCGTTAGAGTCAGGCATTTTGAGAAGGGGGAGTTGCTGGTAGCATTCAAAATGTCCCCCTCTCCTTCCTTTTTCTTCAGGGGGGTCTCCCTCCATATCATTGTCATAATTGCTGGTTTTGCTGGTGTAGATACTACATGTCTTTAGTTTTTTTTTCTTGGACAGAAGATGCAGGTGCAGGCATTGTTAGTGTTCCATACCTTTATCATCACTGGTAGGGCAGAAGAGGGGTGCTACTGCCATGTCACCACTGCCATGTCACCTTCTTCCTTTCTTTCTTTTACAAATGACACTTAGCATCTCCAAGTGAAAAATAAATAAAACACCCAGCTTTGCTTTTATCTCCTCTGGTAGGACAGGAACCAGACACCACTGCTGCTGCTGCATCTTCATTTTCTTCCTTGTGTGGAGGATTTTTTTTCCTACAGGGAGGGCTGATTCTTTTTTTAAAAATATTTTTATTAATTAACAAAAAACAACTATGACAATACTAACATAAAAAGTGTATACATATATAACATACAAAAATTCCTCCCCTGTGCCACCATCACACTTGGGACCAGATAACCAAATATATTCTTAATCTATTTTCCTCCCATTCCACTACAAAAGTACATTGATTCTTCTGTCAGCTTATGACTTTTCTCTTTTACAAAAACATAATTCAAATATAGATTCCATACCTCTTTAAAATCATTGTATTTTGTCACTCCCCTTCTTACTTTTATTTCACATATTAGCTCATCATTTCTTTATATCAATCATCAATATTAATTTATTTGTCACTTTTGAAGGTTTTTTTGCAAATATTGTAGACTGAAGAAAGGAGGAAAAACCACTGGGCTAGGCAGGTAAAATCTAAAACAAATCCCTCATGAATACACAGTGGAAGTGAAAAATAGATTTCAGGAACTCGATTTGGTGGACAGGGTGCCTGAAGAACTATGGATGGGGGCTCATAACATTGTACAGGAAGCAGCAACAAAAACCATCCCAAAGAAAAGGAAATGCAAGAAAGCAAAGTAGCTGTCCAACGAGGCCTTACAAATAGCAGAGAAGAGAAGGGAAACAAAATTCAAGGGAGATAGGAAAAGCTAGAGAAAATGGAATACAGACTTCCAAAGAATAGCAAGAAGAGACAAGAGGGCCTTCTTAAATGAACAATGCAAAGAAATAGAGGAAAATAATAGAAAGGGAAAAATAAGATATATGTTCAAGAAAATTGGAGCTATTAAAGGAACATTTTGTTTGTGGGACAGGAAGCAACAGTTAGAACTGGATATGGAACAACTGATTGGTTCAAAATTTGGAAGAGTATGATAAGGCTGTATATTGTCTCCCTGCTTATTTAATTTATATGCAGAATGCATCATGCGAAACACTGGACTGGATGAATCCCAAACTGGAATTAAGATTGCGGGAAGAAATATCAACAATCTCAGATATGCAGATAATACCACTCTGATGGCAGAAAGTGAGGAGGAATTAAAGAACCTCTTAATGAGGGTGAAAGGGGAGAGCATAAAAAACAGTCTGAAGCTCAACATCAAGATCATGGCCACCGGCCCCATCACCTCTTGGGAAATAGAAAGGCAAGATATGGAGGCAGTGACAGATTTTACCTTCTTGGGATCCATGATCACTGCAGATGGTGACAGCAGCCATGAAATTAAAAGATGCCTGCTTCTTGGGAGGATAATGACGACAAACCTAGACAGCATCTTAAAAAGCATCTTGTTGACAAAGGTCCGCATAGTTAAAGCTATTGTTTTTCCAGTAGTGATGTATGGAAGTGAAAGCTGGACCATAAAGAAGGCTGACCGCTGAAGAATTGATGCTTTTGAATTGTGGTGCTGGAGGAGACTCTTAAGAATCCTCTGGACTTTGAGGAGATCAAATCTATCCATCCTGAAGCAAATCAACCCTGAGTGCTCATTGGAAGGACAGATCCTGAAGTTGAGGTTTCACTACTTTGGCCATCTCATGAGAAGAGCGATCTCCCTAGAAAAGACCCTGATGTTGGGAAAGTGTGAAGGCAAGAGGAGAAGGGGACAACAGAGGACAAGATGGCTGGACAGTGTCAACAAAGCAACCAACATGAATTTGACCCAACTTCGGGAGGCAGTGGAGGACAGGAGGGCATGACCTGCTCTGGTCCATGAGGTCACAAAGAGTCAGACATAACGACTAAACAACAACAAAACTCTGTGGTTTTTCCTAATTTCTTCAGTTTGAGCCTGGATTTTGCTATCAGAAGCTGATGATCAGAGCCACAATCAGCTCCAGCTCCAACATTTATTAGAATCTTATAAATCACACTTACTATGCCCATTCTTTTATTTCCTTCCTCTAGAACTTGTCTATAATCTCCTCAAATTTAGTCAATTTTCTAATTTTTCCTATTCATCTAGTCCATTCCCTTGTACAACCTTCCATTTGGAGTAAATTTTACCAAGATATCCCCCTTTCCTCTCCTAAGATTTCCTTTATGATATTTTTTATCTTTCATCTTTTTAATCCATGCCATTGTATTCAACCCTTTCTCTACTAATATTTCTTTAAGTTTAATTTTAAGGATATGAGCTTTAAGCTCTGAGCCTCCACTACTTTTTGCAGTGGTATGATATGTGGACTCAATATATATCTGGATTCTTTCCAGCATTCTAACATATTCTTCAAAAGGGATTAGTTATTCTGTTTACTTCTTCTGCAGTTTTTTATTTAAAGAGGATATTCTCCAATCTATTAAAAAGTTCTGACAATTCCAGTTCCTTCCATATTAAATTTCTATTATGTGCAATAATATCTGGAATATGTCTAAGTTGATTTGCAGTATAATGTGCTTTAACGTTGGGTAGTCCAAGTCCTCCTCCTTTTTGTGGAATATGCCATAGTTTCTTATTTATCCTTATTCCTTTATTTCCAGCACAATAGCTATTTATTGAGTTCTGCCAATCTTTTAGATATATTTCTTCAGTTTTTATTGGGAGCATCCAAAATACAAAATTAAGTTTAGGAATAATCTTCATTTTACTTAATGCTATTTTTCAGGGAGGGCTGATTCTACATAATGTTGTAGGGAAAAAGCACTTTGCTTTCTGTCACAGGTTCCCAGAGAAATAGGGATGCCTCAACATAATTTCTACAGTGATTGATTGGTAGTTGTGGCATTCCATTTGGCCTGAGTAGAAACTGAGTATGAGATTGTGTGGCTGAAATCCTGTTTGCTTAGTATAGTAAGTTGTGACCAAGTAGGGCCATTGACTCAGTGGAATTAGAAGAGTTGACTCACCAAATCAGTGGGCCTACTCTAGTTGTGACTTACTATACTAAACAACAGGAGTTCAGCCATTGTGTTTTAACTCATGGCTTGACCCACTATGAGATTCACTAAGGGTGGATTAAGAAGAAACAAAACAACAAGTATGAAAGAATAATACAGATGTTATTGACTGTAATGGTAGATCATGGATGCAGGAGAAAAAAGACAAGAAGGCAAAGAAGATTACACATATCTTCTGTCACCAGGAAGTCCCAAGTTGGCAGTGGATGCATTCCAATAAGCAAAGGTCTCTAGACAACTGCACACTCTCCGTCCTGTAGTGAAATTCAAAGAGAAACAGTCTAGCCAGAGATTATGTGTCTCCTTCTAGCACTTCTAAGCATCCAGAGTAGATAAAAAAGACAAGCTTAAGACTCCACAGCTGGAGGGAAGGGAAGAAGTCCAATTAAGTTCTTAGCCTGGAAACTACCTCATCTCTGGAATGCAATGCATGGGATGAGACGTTCAGCATGGCTTAGTTCTGTACAAAGTGCAAAAATCATAACCCTTTTTAGGTTGTGGCATGATGCTTTCAAAGCACTTCTCTTTTTATGAAAAAAATCATTCCGCAGGGAAGTGAGGAATCAAAAGTATTCATGTTTGCACAAGTCTCCACACAAGTAAAGGGTAAAAATAAAATCCACAAATCAGGAATTGTAGTTATCCACCAAAAAAGCTTTTATAGCTGGAAAAATGATATAACAGGTTTCAAGTATTTTTTGAAGTGAGATGCCTCCTTAGGGTTGCCACGTGCCAGTTTTATCACAAGCATCTTTCACATGATGCTGCAGCTCAGCCAGATCCTTGCTGCACAGCTGGATGGCAACTTCACAGTCAGTGAAATCTCTTTTTAGTCTCTGTGGCCACCAGGGTACTGAGCAGGGGGGCTGAATTTCCTACTGGATTTGAGTGGAGTGGGGGAGGGGAGGGGTGAGATTGTGGAAAAGCTTTTTTGGTGGATAACTACAATTTCTGATTTATGGATTTTATTTTTACCCTTTACTGTACCTTTTTTGCCCCTGAGTATATTTTAATCAGTTTTTAATAAAGAGTTGGCATAAATAGTTGCAGTGATGAGTGTTTGGTAAAAGTAAAACATTGTCGTGAATGAGAAATATTGATGGCACAACTGTACCTGAGGATATGTTTTTTAAAAAGGAAAAGAAAAGCTGTCTGTTTCCACCACCAGACACTTCCATCCATTGGAAGTACAGTTCTGTACATGAATCTGTGTCTTACACATCTGCTTCTCCCACATGAACAGAATCATCTTAGATCCAACCAAATGGCTCCAGTGTTCAGGATTTCTTCCTGGTGACTGCTCACCTTTTACAAGGACAAAACACATAGTACACATTGTAAATTTCATTGCAAATTACAAGAACTGCGCAAGTTATCAATAACTATGGTACTAGCAGTGGCAGAAAATGTTATTTGTCCCATTTGTCATTCCAGGCAGCTCTGAATAACAAAGGACCACATCGGAGCTGCCTGCCAACATCATCTGCTACTGCCAGCAACAGACGTCCCAGCCAGGCATTTTCACCCATCACCATCAGTGTTGCATTTCCTCTGTGTTGCTTTTTTTAGGGGGGAAAAGTGTATACATTTGAATCAGTCTCTCTGATTTGAGTTCCAAGTAAAACAGTAATATAGGATCTATATTTTTCACATGTCCTGTTTTTTTAAAATTGCACACTGCAGTTGCAACCTAGTTTGGTTTTGCTTTCAAATGAGCTTTTGGCAAGATGCTGTCCAAAATCTGCTTCTAAATTGCACAGAGTCACCTGTTATTCTGCTATTTAAATACAGCTCCCTCCCTTCTTTAAATCAGATAGAGCTGTAACTAAGCATTTTGGCCCTCATGTCATGGGGCAACATCTCCAGCCTGCTACCTCTCAAAAAAAGGAAGAGAACGTGATGCCCAACTAAATGAAAATGTGTATAGTTTTAAAAGGGGGTGAATATCGCTGGGAGCCATTGCTGTTTATTTTCTTAACACTCACAAGCAGATTCACCTGTGCATTCTGGTGTCCTCTAAATTTTGATGCCCTGTGGCAAAGCCCCAATTGCTCTAACTTAGTTATAGCCCTGGAATCAGAGCTCGGAAGAAATATTGTTTGAACAACAACTCTAAGAATTCCCCAGTCAGCATGGGCAGCATGGTCATGCGTCCAAGATAGGTATTATAAATTATAGGACTGGTAATAATCTACCACTAAAATAGATGATAAAAGATGTCTTGAAGTCTGATCTACCTCTCAGGGTTCAACATGTAGGCTTTCCCTTGTCACAAGCACTACCCTGCAGAAATTACTTTTCTCTACTGGAATATTTATTCGGTTTATGGACCAGTTCTTCTCTGTGCCAGATACCTTGGAATAAAGCTGTAGCATCATGGAGTCTTTCAGATCTTTGGGACTATTTTTTAATCTTTCTTTTTGCTGACAGGATGATAAGACAATGGCAATGAAGAGTGGAAAAAAAGTCTATTTTACTAACAATGGTTACATTTTTGGGGGTGATTTCAGAAACCATTTTCTTCCTCTTTGTTGGGATTTCTGCAGTGTAAGTTCCTAATCATAAACTTGATATATCTGTTACTTTTGATTAGATTGCAGAAGAAAAACAGGGCCTCTACAACAACCTTAAATATGAATTTCAATGCAAAAATTAAGTGTCCCCTTGTCAGATTAAAACATGATTCCAATAAGCTGTTGGAGACCCAATAATAGTCCAGAATGTCTGACTTTCAAGACTTGATTGCTGCACTCAAAAGACATCAATGTGCATGCATTATTTGTTATCCTGGTGTACTGTCAAGGATACACATTTCTGCTCAGCAGGCTGTGTCATCAGTGCCAGCATCCCCCATGCTCATACATTATGTTGACATATTTATTGTGCCAGCTCATCTCTTTTACCTTATGTCACCCTGTCTGAGAAAGTGATCTGTTCATTAATGTCATGGAACATTCTGCCAATATCCTTTTGTCATTTGTCGGGGCACCATATCCGCTCTGTTTAAACATCCAAATACACAATATGGAGATATTCATGGAACACACACACCTATGCAACAGGGCCACAGAGCTATCAAATATATATTAATTTAAAAGAAAGGAATAATAAATCACTATGCAGTACTCTAAAGTAGAATAGCCCAGAAGGGGTCACCATAACTCAGAAATTACTTGATGGCACACAATGATTACTACTATTATTATTCTGTTTTTGTTAAGAGGCACAATAAATTTCCTGCCTTGTTTCTTGACTGGTGTGTCCCCTAAGCCTTCCATGAAAAAACCAACTGGCAGCAGCACCCCAACATATTTGGCAAATATATTTCCAGGCTACATTAACTCAAGTATGTTTATTCATGTTGATTCTTTTATTGCTCCTATATCTTGGAGACTTGCTTTTTGTCAAAAACTATTTGTCATAGTTTAAAGAGGAAAATCTTTTCCGTAGGTGACAGTACGGAATTATTTTTCTAATGGCCTCATTCTGCGTTCTGTCTCAAAAGTAACTTTTTTAAAAAATTAAAGTTGAATTTAAAACAAATCACCATTTTTGAAACCAATAGGTTGGGTAAGGTGTAATATGAGATTGCTTACAGGTCATGCATCACAGGAAAAATGGCAAAATTTACTTTTAAAAAAATAAAAATAAATTAAAAACACCATCATTGTCATGATCTCTTTCATTTCATGTGCTTATCACTAAGAACAGAATAGCATTTATTCCATTTTATGCATTGTTTACTATGTGTACTTGAAAAAAATAAAATAGAACATAGAAACGCTTTGGTTGCCTGTGTTCGATAGTCATTAATGCCTGTTTTAAGTTTCCCTTTTGGAAGGGAGATACTTTGTTAAAAGGGAGTTTGTTCAAATATTTAGCCCATTTTTCCATCAAATGAAGCTTAAAGTGGTAAAATATCAGAAAATAGCAACAAAAGTATGAAATAAATATAACTAAAAACAAACTAGATAAAACGTCAAAAACAACCAATTACATTGGTTGGAATTAGAAATGAGCATGAAATGAGCCATGAACCAAAAAAAAAAACCAAAAAAAAAACCCCTCTCACACTTCCATGAAGTGAAATGAAACACCATTTTCATTGCTGGCGTTTCATTTTGCTTCATTTCTCTGCCTCCCTTCATGGGCCCCAACCCCTACTTTATATTCCAGGTTTCAGATGCTGATGGACAGACAGGGAGACTGTGGTCTTTCTGATAACCTGGTACTTAATCCTCTAGCTTTATATGTCACAACCAGCTTTTTGAACTGTCACTTGGAATGAACCTGTAGCCAATTAGGCTATTTTAAGATGTTGGGTTTGGGCAACTGTCAAACTATAAACAGAAAATAAAGGTGTTTATGAAACCTATGAACCAACCAACGTTCCTAAAATTCCAATTACCTATTGCCAGTTCAATTAACTGCCATCATGTTACATTTTGATGCTAATTAATGGGGATTCTCCTGGCAAAGGTAAATTTTTATCATTTCATAGATTTGTGTAATTTTATCAATGTTTATAAAAGTGGCCTGCTGACAGTATTCATTGTTCTCAAGGCCACAACATGATGGAGTCTGCAAATATTTTCATGTATGATTCCAACAGGATATATGTTGCCCTAAAACTAACTAAATTTGTTGGAAATTTAGGAAATATGTTGCCCTAAAGCTATACATGAAGGTGCCCCACACCTTCAGGTATAGCTTACAAATTTTAATCTCTCAGATATGGGCTACAGATATAATACAAGGCAAAAGGTCACTACCTTTTGTAGATCTATATTTAATACTGAAACCTGCCTTATACTGCATGTATAATAGAGAAGGGGGGGAGAAAAAGGTGGACATATCTGCACAGGTTATTAAAATGCAACATTTCTAGATCATTCTTACCATATTCCCCATCTTCTGAAAAAAAATCTAATTTTTATATTAGTCTGATGAGGGGAAACAAAATCGATATGAGTAGGATATGCTGAGAGTTTCATTTCTTTTTCTTTCTTTTTTCCTTTCTTTTCCCCGGTGAATACTTACCAGGAGCTAGAAAAGAGTGCTCAGTGTCATGGTGTATAAATAGATATGTCTGAAGAGGTAAGGCAGCCTGCCTCTCTTGCTGCAGAGTTAATAAGGACCTCAAGCAACTCCTTATGGTTCCTGGGGGCATCCTCTGGATTTGTTGCTGGCATTTCAGTCCATGCTCCAACAAACGCAAGGCTGTGCATCACTGCAAGACTTGGCACACAAATTACTTGACCTCTGTTCCAAATAAGGAAGCAGAGTTCAGTGCCAGCAATCAGAGAACATGTGGTTTCTGAGAGCAAGTCACAAGCATCCCTTGTGCTCATTGCTGCCAAAGTGCCAATATTCGCAGTGTCACCTTTGTGTATTTAGATGCCTTTGTTTCATGCCAAAAGGAATGTCACTTTTATGGAGTTCTGTAGCAGTCCCGTTTCTGCTTACCCTGCTTTTAAGCACATTATCATGGTTGCAGATAGCCACAAAACAATTAAACATGCTGTTTAGTACTGTGACAGTTTAGCACAGGGGAGGGGCACATCTGCCCCTCCAGATGTTGTTGGACTCTAGTTCTTGCTAATGATGATGAATTATGGGAGTTGCAGTTCAACAATAGTCACAGGCCATATGTTACCCATCTTGGGATTAGGGTTTCTTCCAAACCTCCACATTTCAGGAAGGTCACAGGGCTGTTTCTTAGCTTCCTCTTTCTCTGCCAAAGATGAATTGTTCAAGAGATGGAAAAAGAGACTAAAATAATAATATGACGTATCATTCACAAGATTCAAATTGCAGTTTGGCATACGGAATCCATAAATCCCATACAGTTCCATTTCAACAGCCCTTCTCCAGGGTTGCAATCTCAGGGAATAAAAAGGTTATCTTGTGGCAGAAATGATAACATGGTGAATTTACGGGATCATATCCTCAGAACTGTACTGGTGTGGATGAATGATCTAAGTCTCCAACTACATTGATACCTTGGGATTAGCTTGGCAATTAGCATTAGTTAATTTTAAGTATTTTTCAATGATCACATGATGCAAAGGCCAGTAGAAATCAGCCTGGTCCTTTCTGCTTTATATCTGGAGATTTCCCCCTCCCCCCTGCCATTAGGGACTTTCCTCAGTGCAGGATCACCTTATAAATGCATGTATAGATATTAGTTTAGTGCTAGATCATCTCTGTACTCCCCTTCATGGATTGCTGCCTTGCCGTGGCAAAGGGGCTTGAGTTTCTCTGAATGGATTGGGCCTGTCAGGAACACCCAAGACAGACAGGTCATAGTGGAGAGTTCTGACTAAACACAATCCACCTGGAGTAGGAAATGGCAATGCCACTCCAGTATCTTTGCCAAGAACGCCCCTTGATCAGAAACAAAAGGCTAAAAGATATGACACTGGAAGATGGGCCCCTCAGGTCGGAAGGCGTCCAACATGCTACTGAGGAAGAGCAGAGGACAAGGACTAGAAGGTCCAGAGCTAATGAAGTGGTTGGGCCAAAGCCAAAAGGACGCTCAGCTGTGGACATGCCTGGAAGTGAAAGGAGAGTCCGATGCCGCAAAGAAAAATACTGCATAGGAACCTGGAATGTCAGATCTATGAACTTTGGGAAGCTGGAGGTGGTCAAACAGGAGATGGCAAGAATAAACATAGACATCCTGGGCATCAGTGAACTAAAATGGACAGGAATGGGCAAATTCAATTCAGATGAGTATCATATCTACTATTGTTGGCATGAATCCTGTAGAAGGAATGGAGTAGCCCTCATAGTCAACAAAAGAGTGGGGAAAGCTGTACTGGGATACAATCTCAAAAATGATAGAATGATTTCAATACGAATCCAAGGCAGATCTTTCAACATCACAGTAATCCAGGTTCATGCACCAACAACCAATGTTGAGGAGACTGAAATTGACCAATTTTATGAAGACTTACAACACCTTCTAGAACTGACACCAAAGAAAGATATTCTTCTCATTATAGGGGACTGGAATGCTAAAGTAGAGAGTCAAGAGATAAAATGAACAACAGGTAAGTTTGTCCTTGGAGTTCAAAACAAAGCACGGCAAAGGCTAATAGAGTTTTGTCAAGAGAACAAGCTGGTCATCACAAACACTCTTTCC